AAAAAAAAAACGAAAAGCACAAAGCTCACTATATTGATATCATGCGATAAACCATGCTGTTGTCCAAACTGTACAGATCCGAGATCAGTTAACAGATGTTGATTGTCATCCCATCGACCAAAGCAAAGATCAACCCCTCCAACAAACGCTATTAATTGGTCGATTATCACCAATTTTTCATGGTGGGCCCAGAAAAATGTTCCTGTTCCTGGATAATGATCAGGATGACGCATGACCTAAACAGAACGATACCTCCATATACGCTGGAGTTTGAACAATCAAGCTTACTTTAACATTAGGGTGGAGCGCTTGTAGTGTTCGTTTACTGTACATACTATTCAAGCCCAAGGCCATTTCCATTTCTTTGTACATAAGTATAAATATGCGAACGCCCTGGTTTGCTTTGCGCTTGAGAATCTCATCCAACCTCCAATAATTGCCTTCCAACGCCGGCCGCTTCATGTATATCTTGAAATAGGAACGTTCAGTTGCTTGTTACCATAATACCGAGACATCTACCCACCTCTGGACTCAACCACCATCCAGCAATGAAAATCTCCTGTCTGGCTAACTCCATCATATCGGCGGCATGCGACATGTAGGTTTTAGCGTCAACGAACCTAAGAAAAGAGGTTGACAATTAATATAAATCCATTGCTTATCTAACTAGAATTCACCATTTCCCGTAACAGTTCTCCCTGACTGGAAAAGACGAACTAAACCGATGCGGTTGAATCCATACGTTTCCAACTCCATGCATAGCTTCTTCAATTATAGCTTTCCACCTAGCCGTATCTTCTATTCTTCTACATTTCAAATGGAGTTCACTGAAAAGTGAACCTAGTGTATTAAGAGCCTGATGAACACTATCCTATCCAGTCTCTGAAAGCCCATAAGAATCGCATGGACTTACTGTTGCGTATTGAAGATGATGAGACCAGTTGGAATTCCTTCAGCTTCCTTGCCACCAGCTGCAACCTAAAAACAAAATTGGATTCCTTAAACGTTTGTAACAGCTGAGAGGTAGTTTTGCATTTGTAGAT